AGCGCATGTACAACAAAGACAGTGAAGTGATTACAGTTGATTAGGGTTTTACAAGTCAACGGATCAAGTTGTAACACCGTAAATTTTCAAACAAAAATTTTCATTTAAAAACCCAATTATCTCATTTCAAAATCACAAAATTCCACAAACATCAAGTTATCAAAACACATGTTCCAAAACTGTTTATAACACAAATCCAGGATCCTCCAAAAACATAACTCCAACTCGGGTGTGTGTGTACAATCAAGTCGGTGCCTTCCCGTGATCCTGAGAGGTACCTGAAACACATAACACATAATACGGTAAGCACGGAGCTTAGTGAGTTCCCCAAAATACCACACACATCACATTAGCCACTCGAGGCTAACTCAATACGACCCTCCGGTCAATGTGTCTCAGTGAAGACCCTCCGGTCCCACGACTCGGGAGGGCCCTCTGGTCCTAACTCAATAAGCTCATAATAATAATACTCAGCATAAATCACAAATACATAATGCAGAATATCACAATACGCAGGTAAGCACATAAGACACCCCGGTGACACAAAGATACCACTCATGGTAAGTATAGTGAGAAGACTCACCTCGTAAGAAATCGGATAACCTCGAACTCGAATCATCGGGCTAGCCTCCGCCTAACACATACGATAATTATCCCTAATTAATAGCGGCTCTCAAAAAGCTATACTAACCCTTCTACAAGCTCGCAGAAGGGTAAAAGACCATTTTCCCCCTCCTTGGCCTTAATAGTCCACAAATTGACAAAACCCTAAAAGTCAACCAAAAGTCAACGAAAGAGCGTACGTTGTGTGTACCAGGTCGCTACGCTGGGCGTACTCTGCTGTCATGCAGGCATCGGGGATGCTCGACCCCAAGGCGGCGCGTACTGGGATTACGCTCAGCGTACGTCCCAGTTTCACTCTTCCTACTCATTTGGTCTTAATCAGTTAAGACCTTGGCTTATATCACAGATCTAGACTCCCTAATAGCTCTTACCCCATAAAGTCAGTGACTTTAAGCCTTTGTATGGCTGATTAGGTCACAAACACACAAAACTCTCACTCTCTTATCTCAAAATGCTCATATCTCATGCATGGCTTGATTCCAACGTCCAAGTCTTGATTTTTATGACACTACACCACTAAATACACTCAAAGGGGTTGATCATAGTCTCTGGGGCTCAATTATCTCATAAAGTCTCCAACTTTTGGGACAAAACCCTAAAAGACTCTACTATGATGCATAAATCAAAAGAGTGAGAAAGCTTGGAGCTTTATACCTCTAGATGAAGCTCCCAACTCAGATATGCTCAGATCCAAGGCCTGGACTCTCACTCCTTCTTCTCCCAAAGCTCCTTCTTGACTCCAAGAACACATAAAATCACTTAAAGGCTCTCAAATGGACACACACAAGCTCAAGAACGAGGATCAGGGTTTTAGAGGGTGGTTTGTCTGAAGATGGTGGCCAGGAATGAGGCCATCATATCCTTTATATAGGGACACACCCCAATTTAGGGTTTTCACTCTGGGCCTAGTACGCCCAGCGTACCCTCTGGTACGCCCAGTGTACCCTCTGGTACGCCTAGCGTACTAATTGGCTTTCGCGTCAAAAACACGCATATGAGTACGCTGAGCGTACACTCGCGTACGCCCCACGTATTCATTTACCACCTTTTTTCAATAAGGGCTAAACTTGACAATTTACCAAAAGAACAAGGGCTTATAAGGTATACCTGGTCTTGGGATGTTACAATTCTCCCCCACTAGAAATCAGACTTCGCCCTCGAAGTTAGGTTCCAAAAATAACTCTGGATACTGCCCGCGCATCTCGGACTCCGGCTCCCAAGTGCACTCGGACCTCTTCCGATGTTGCCACTGGACCTGAACCAGAGGCACATCTTTGTTCCTCAGAACCTTCACCTTCCGATCCATAATCGCAATTAGTCGCTCAATATAATTCAGGCTCGCATCAACCTGAATGTCCTCTAATGGTACCACTGCCGTCTCATCGGCTATACACTTCCTCAGTTGGGACACGTGGAAGGTGATATGAATCTGGCTCAACTCTGCGGGTACCTCTAACCGGTAGGCCACCCTACCTACTCTGGCGATCACTCTAAAAGGACCAATCTATCGGGGGCCCAGCTTGCCCCGTTTCCTGAATCGGATCACCCCTTTCCATGGGGATACCTTCAGGAGGACAAAATCTCCAACCTGGAACTCTAGCTCGGATCGTCGCCGATCCGCGTAACTCTTTTGGCGACTCTGGGCGGTCAGTAACATTTGTCTGACCTGCTGAATCTGCTCGGTCGTCTTCAGCACTATCTCAGTGCCACCCATCACTCGCTGCCCTACCTATCCCCAACAAATGGGAGTCTGACACCTCCTCCCATATAGAAGCTCAAAGGGAGGCATACCAATACTCAAATGATGGCTGTTATTGTAATAAAACTCAGCCAAGGGCAGATAAGTGTCCCAACTTTCTCCGAAGTCCATAACACATGCACGCAGCATGTCCTCAAGTGACTGAATCATCCGTTCGCCCTGCCCGTCTGTCTGCGGATGGTATGCGGTACTGAAATGTAACCGGGTACCCAACTCCTCATGAAATTTCCTCCAGAACCTGGAAGTAAAGTGCACGTCTCGATCTGACATTATCGAGGTCGGCACTCCATGCTGAGCTACCAGCTCTCTCACATAAATCTCGGCCAGTCTCTCTGTAGAAGAGTTCTCACTGATAGCGAGGAAGTGAGCACTCTTCGTCATCCGGTCCACAATCACCCATATCGCGTCAACCCCATGTACAGTTCTCGGTAACTTGGTGATAAAGTCCATAGAAATATGTTCCCACTTCCACTGGGGAATCTCTAAAGGCTGCAAAGGACCATGTGGACATTGGTGCTCCGCCTTAACCCGACGATAGGTCAAGCACCTCTCTACAACCCATGCCACGTCCCTCTTCATACAGGGCCACCAATAGTCTCTCTTTAGGTCCAAATACATCTTAGTGGCCCCTGGGTGGATCGAGAATCTCGATCTATGTGCCTCCTCTAACAATATACGACGAGCTCCACCTGTATAGGGCACCTTAATCTGCCCATGGAAAATCATAAGCCCGCGACTGTCCATCACAAACTCGGAAACCTGCCCAATCACACGCTCTCTCTTTCGGTTCTCTGGTCTCACAGCCTCAACCTGATCCTCTCGGATGGTATCTAAGACTGGAGTCATCACCGTCATCCTCATACACACATCACGGATCGGAGCGCTCTCGGCTCTGCGACTCAAGGCATCGGCTACCACATTAGCCTTGCATGGATGATATAAGATCTCACAGTCATAGTCCTTCACTACATCCAACCATCTCCTATGTCTCATATTCAAGTTGGGTTGATCCATTAGGTATTTCAGGCTCTTATGGTCCGTGTATATGGTACACCAGACTCAATACAGATAGTGACGCCAGATCTTGAGGGCGAACACCACCGCCCCCAACTCCAAATCATGGGTGGGATACCTTGTCTCAAGAGGCTTCAACTGCCTTGATGCATATGCGATCACGTGTCCCCTCTGCATCAACACCGCTCCCATCCCAGATATAGAGGCATCACAGTAAACTACGAAATCCTTCACTCCCTCGGGAAGGGCTAACACCGGGGCTTCGCACAATCTCTGGCGAAGAGTCGTAAATGAGGTCTGCTGCTCGGCCCCCCAAGCAAATGTAACACCCTTCCGGGTTAATCTGGTGAGAGGAACAACGATCTTGGAGAAATTCCCTGATAAATCTATGATAGTAATCGGCCAATCCCAGAAAACTCCTAATCTCGGACGGAGATCTCGGCACCCCCCAACTCATAACTGCCTCAATCTTGTCCGGGTCGACCAATATCCCATTCTGATTAACGAGATGTCCCAGGAACTGGACCTCTCGTAACCAGAAATCACACTTGGAGAATTTGGCATATAGCCTCTTCGACCTCAAAACTCCAGATCCTCTCTAAGATGCTCCTCGTGCTGCTCCCTGGACCTCGAGTACACAAGAATATCGTCGATGAACACGATCACCGATTGATCCAACATGGGCCTGCACACCCGGTTCATGAGGTCCATGAACGCCGCCGGTGCGTTGGTGAGCCCGAAAGGCATCACCACAAACTCGTAGTGCCCATAACGAGTCCTAAAGGCTGTCTTCGGAATATCCTCCTCGCAGACTCTCATCTGATGATATCCAGATCTCAAATCAATCTTGGAGAACCAAGATGCCCCCTGCAACTGATCGAACAAATCGTCGATCCTCGGAAGTAGATAATGTTTTTTGACCGTCAGCTTGTTCAACTCCCGGGTAATCAATGCACATCCGGTGTGAACCATCCTTTTTTATTGACAAAAAGGATCGGAGCTCCCCACGGTGAGCTACTTGGTCTGATGAACCCTTTCCCCAGTAGCTCCTGGAGCTGTGAGGATAACTCATGCATCTCTGGCGGCTCAAGGTGATAAGGTGCCTTGGCAATAGGCGCCGCACCCGGAATCAAATCAATTCAGAACTCCACCTGCCTCTCGGGAGGCAAACCCGGCAACTCCTCGGGGAAAACATCAGGATACTCGCACACTATCGGAACCTCGGCGATAGAACTCGGCTTTTTAATATTCACTTTAACTGATTTTCTTATCTGCTTGTCTCTTCTACAGACTGAAGGTCTTATAGGTGACACAATCGTTCTAAAAGGCATGATCATAAACGTTGACATTTTCTTTTCCTACCCTATTTTAATGAGATCCTTCGGGTACTTTGTTGGTTGGTGGTGGTGGTGATGGTGTTGATAGATGCACACTAATATAACTAAACTACTTAAAACAACTAAGGATTCAAGATGACAAGCTACATAGTCCAAGTTGAAACCAACGAGTTTTTATATCTTATTTTACAAGTAAGTGGGACCCAAAAATAAAAAGAATGTTATATTAGTGGTGGGAAGAGAGATGAAAATGGAGATGAGAGTGTGGATAAAACGTGGACACCATCCGCCAATCAAAACGCATTGAAATCCCTTCTCCTGGCCCTCAATTTCTCTCTATTTCATCGCCTACCATATTTCAACGACACAAGCCCCAGCCAGCCATCCTTCTCTGAAGCTTGTCTCCTCTAGAATTAGGGTGCGTGGAAGATTGTTCGAAGGATTTGAGTTTGTTGTTGTTGCGCATCAATGGCGGTATCGAGTGCTTTTGCAGGTGCAAAACTCGAAACTCTCTTCCTCAGCAATGCGACTGCTACTCCCGCTTCATCTCCGCCAACTTCTCATTATCAAATTGGGGTTTCGTGTAAATCTCGAAGAACCCTAATTCAAAGAGGAATTGTTAGGTGTGAATCACATTCTACTGCTTCTTCAGATGTTGTCGTTGAGAATTCATCTGGAAATGCTTCGAGTATCTCTGCTCTTGAACAGCTCAAAACCTCGGCAGCTGACAGTAAGTTTTCCCAAAATTCCGATTCAGTTTCACAAAATTCTATAGAAATTCAGCTTGCATTAGTTAAAACGAATTCCAATTTCTTAATTCCCAATCGAAAGAACTACATTTTCGTATTTGATTTCAGACATTGTATAGTAACCCATGATTAACAACATATAGAACTGTTTATTCGGCAATAATATAAGTTTTATAAAAATCTTTTTCTTAATTATGCAGGGTATACAAAAGAAAAGAGTAGCATTATAGTTATTGGGCTTAGTATCCATACTTGTCCTGTAGAAATGAGGGAAAAACTTGCAATTCCTGAAGCAGAGTGGCCAAGAGCAATCAAAGAGCTATGTGCTTTGAACCATATAGAAGAAGCTGCTGTTCTGTCTACATGTAATCGCATGGAGATTTATGTTGTAGCTTTGTCTCAGCATCGAGGAGTAAAAGAAGTGACTGAATGGATGTCAAAGGTACTAGCTTTTCCATTTACTTCATCTAAAAAGTTGTTTGAATGTTGTACCGTTTGAAATTGATCATCATAAGTTGAATTGATTGTGTTTGTCTTTGTCTTTCTAACTACAGACTGGTGGAATCCCAGTTTCTGAGATTTCCGATCACCGTTTTCTGCTATACAACAGTGACGCAACCCGCCACATCTTCCAAGTGTCCGCCGGACTCGAATCATTGGTGCTCGGAGAGGGCCAAATCCTCGCTCAGGTGAAACAAGTCGCTAAAGTTAGCCAAGGAGTCGCAGGGTTTGGAAGGAACATTAGCGGTTTATTCAAGCATGCCATCATGGTCGGGAAACGTGTTCGAACTGAAACCAAAATCGCCGAAGGAGCAGTTTCCGTCAGCTCAGCCGCCGTGGAGTTAGCCCTAATGAAACTTCCCAATTCCGCCCATTCCATCGCTAGAGTTTTACTCATCGGAGCTGGAAAAATGGGAAAACTAGTCATCAAGCATTTGATGTCAAAAGGATGCACGAAAATAGTGGTTGTGAATCGGTCCGTCGAACGAGTCGACTTGCTCCGAGACGAGTTCAAAGACATCGAAATCGTTTACAAACCGCTCGACGAAATGATGAGTTCTGCCGCCGAAGCCGACGTGATTTTCACCAGCACGGCGTCGGAAACCCCTTTGTTTTTGAAGGAACATGTTATCGATCTTCCTCCGGTGAGCGAATCCGTCGGTGGAAACCGTCTCTTCATCGATATCTCCGTCCCAAGGAACGTCGGTTCTTGCGTTAAAGATCTGGAAGGTACAAAAGCGTACAACGTCGACGATCTGAAGGAAGTCGTCGCCGCTAACCGTGAAGACCGGCTCCGGAAAGCGAGGGAAGCGGAGATGATTATCGATGAAGAATTGAAGTTATTTGAAGCGTGGAGAGATTCTCTGGAAACAGTTCCGACGATTCGGAAACTTAGGGCTTACGCTGAACAGATCAGAACTAGTGATTTGGAGAAATGTTTGGAGAAAATGGGGGACAATGTGAACAACAATACGAGAAAAGCTGTTGAGGTTTTGAGTCGTGGGATTGTGAACAAGCTTCTTCATGGGCCATTGCAGCATCTAAGATACGACGGAAGTGATGATCGGACTTTGGATGAGACGCTTGAGAATATGCATGCTTTGAACAGAATGTTTAATTTGGAGACGGAGATGTCTGTTTTGGAAGAGAAGATTCGAGCCAAAGTTGAAAAACAAAAGTGAGGTTTCAGACTTTTTTTTTTTTTTTTTTTTTTTTTTTTGCATAACACACTTGTTTTTTTGGTTATGTGAAATAAGAGGGAAATTTTCCTTGTAATGTCATGAATGTTGTTCATCCTTGTAATTACATTTACTGATCTGATCAATATAAAGATATAATTTTCTCATGTTTTCTTCTTTGATTGGTTCTATACATTAAGGGGTCCAGGTCTTAGAATCCATTGTGTCGTATACGGACGACGTTTGCAATGAATCCATTGTGGCGTAATAGGAGGCATCGTGTATTCTCCTTCTAGCTCTAGGTTGACATAATGGTTACCATGAACGAGCCCAATTGCAATAGCAATGCGTTTATGAATTGGTGGTGGAGTAGACCGAAGTGGTAAGTACGTTGTATTGACGTCTCAGCTAAAACAATGTAATATCAAGTTATATCTTGAAGCAATTAGGACACTGTATCAGCATAATCATCCAGTTCTGAAGTGGAGCAACTTCGCCAAAGAAATTCAAAGAGTTATAGAGTTGAAATCGATATTCACTTCCAAACATGTCACCATATTCAGTAGTATATGTTTAACTCATCCATTAAATAAACTCGAACTTGGTACCATTCATCTTGATGAAGACCGAGACAAGAAGCGATTGCACGGAATTCGTAATGTTCATCACCTCTTACACCGTGTACCTGCTTAATGTAAGGATGTAATACATTTGGAAATTCATTCATATATGAATATGAATAGTTTTGTTGGTCCGCAACGAGCTATGTCTTGGTGGTTCGTGAATCTTCGTGGAACTTAACCCAAGTTTAGACGTATTTGAACAACTACATCTACGGAGATCTTCGATTGGCAAATCAACTCGATTATCTTTGAAAGGCTTCTTCTACAAACTTGGTCGGCCACGGGTAGTTTTATGAATAGCTGGTTCCAAAACTGAAGTTTTTGATGGGTTGATAAACTCCCTTAAATTCCTCGGAACGTTATGCTTTATAGACCTTGTATGCTTTTCAAAGTCCTAAATATTATTTGCACTTCATCATCACAATGAATATCATCAACAACTCCCATGTTTGTGCGATGACAAAGTAAGTTTCCTCCAAAAACTAACAATTGAATCAAGTGGAAGAGACTTACTTGTATTAAAATACATGATTAGTTCATGTGCACATGATAACCCATAACATGTACACAACTGACAACCACAAATTACATCACCACTTTTACACAGCTCAATTTCGTTGACGATCATGTCTAATGCCTACAACGAAATATAATTCCACAATAGTTTGAACAATTTCATGTTTAATCGATGGTTGATGCGACATGTGTTGTATTGAAAGCTTGTTTTGACAGATGTCACATGTGACTAAATGATATTATGAACAACAGATGAACATTTCCATAAATCAGATTGTGGTGTATCCAAGTACAGTTTCAGCTAGGCATGTTGAATTTCAACTCTGTTAGTTGTGTTATTTCCATAATGAAGAATTTTGTCAATCCAAGCGGCTATGAACATGTGTTTATATTTGTGCAACAACACATCATTGAGATAATGACGGGCACCTAAAATTTTGAAAAAATAAATTCAATTTAGTGCATAATGATTGTTCGGTTATATCATAATAATTTAAAAATATACATATTTATTTAAAGCGTACATGGATATACGAGCAATATTGTTTGGAGTTGTGTGTGATTAAAGTTGTATGCTTCCTTTGTTTGAGACAGAACTAATGATTTCCGACCAGTATAATAGGAATTCCAGTAGTCTTCCCTTCGTATATTTTGTGTCTAGATCTTTTCCAAACACTTTGATTGATGTGTCGTCTACAAAGTAATTGCTTAGAATTTGGAAATACATTGCAACATGTTTTCATCAACGCCAACTCTCTATCTACGAAGATTACTTGAGGGCAAAGAGATCCACCCATTGTTGACTTTAAACAATTTAATGCCCACGTGTAATTGAATTCTCTTTCTTCCTGCATAAATACGAATGCAATGTTAGTTGAGTTGAAGTTACGCCGACAATTTCAAGAAGAGACATCTTATACTTGTTCGTTTTGTAAGTTGCATCCATCAACATTATTTGTGGAAATGCTTGCCATATCTCTAATGATTTTGGATGAATAATGAATAAATCTTCCATCTCGTTAGACAAATTATGTGTGCGATAATAATAAATATAACCTCCTTTCTTCAAAGATGACAAAAGACCTTACATTTGGGTCATACCTTCGTGCTCATTCTTCCATATTTTGTTTCCGCGTTGTATATTGTTTGGAGCATAAACACATTTTTCAAATTTTGCTCTTTCAATGTTGATAAAATTTCATGCAACTTCACATTCTTTGCTGACAAATCGGCCACCACACAAAATTCATTATTAGTCAATCGCATCGCAAATGCATGATCCTCCATATCTTCTGCAGGTTCATGGTTATGTATTTCACATACCACACTTATAGTCCAAAAATCATGTAATTTTGAATATTTACCCTTCAATTTAAAAGGAGAATTTACCTTTTTGTGCTAGTATTTCTACTGAAGATTTTTCACTTTTATAAATACCACCACGATCGCATACAAGAATAACTTTAGTTAAGAGCTCACTTGTTTTTATCTTTCTTCTTCATATGATAGTAATGTAGTCGAGTGTACGTCCCATCTTTTACACTCATACTATTAAATCGTCACAAGATTTGAACACTTGAAAAATATTTGTTTTGATTAAAAACTTACAATGCTACTTGGCAATTTATGAAGATAAAATATATGCTAATACCATGTTTGTAGAAGATTCTGACGAGCTGTTGGCGGCTTCACTTCCTTCATTTAGTTGAAAACTCGTCATTATATTGATGAAAAATGTTACAGAAGTTCTATAGGAGTAGTAATTGAGAATTATAAAGAGATGAGTAATGGTAAGTATAGAGGTGTAGTACTTGACAATTATATAGAGATGAATTATTTTTTTGAAATTTGTAAAAGCTATAGATGAAGTGATATGTTATTCTTTCAAATTGCAAGTTGTAAAAAAACATGATGAATTATTTTTTGAAATTTGTAAAAGTTATAAACGAAGTGATGTTTCTTTATTTCAAATTGCAAGTTGTTAAAAAACTGATGAATTAGTTTTTTAATTTTGTAAAAATTATAAATGAAATGATGTGTTATTATCTCAAGTTGGAAGTTGTAAAAAAGTGATGAATTATTTTTTGAAATGTGCAAAAGTTATATGGACGAAGTGATGTGTTATTCTTTTAAAATTTTCAAGTCGTAGAAATAAATAAAATAAATAAACTGGGCTACATAAAATATAAGATATTTTTGAGAGACTAGAAATTAAATTACTTAAAACAAAAAGTATTTAAAGAAAAACACATAATAGTACACATTTCTTAATATATATATAATATATATAATATATCTATATATAATATATATATATATATATATATATATTAACCATATCAGAGCTACGTTTTAGACCAGAGATTAGTATGTATGATAACTCTGTTTGTTATTTGGTTAATTTTTGTTTGAAGAATTTTAAGAAAATTATGAGTTTTGTTAAGAATGATACAGAGACCAGACCAGTGATTGGTTGGATTAGCGTAAGACGTGCAAGTATGGTAAGTCACGGAGCCGGACCACAATCATCGTTGGGCCGATGCCCTCTCTGTTCATCCTAGATAAAACAAGTAAGTTTTCTTATAAAATCTTTAAACTAAAAATTAATCAAATATGAGTAGATTTTCACGCATATTATCTAAAAAATATGATACTGGTAAAAATATTATGAATAAAGAACAAGATTATGATGATAATCATATAAACTCTATTGAAGAAACTATTGATAATATAGAACAAAATTTAAATGATTGGACTATACCTAAAACAAATATAAACACAATTTATAGAATAGGGACTTTTGATTATTTTCAAAGTTACTCAATTAAAATGACTGAACAAACCCTATCCATTGGTCAAAACCAACAAAATATAAATTTGTTATCATCAAGATCTATTTTCGAACATAGACAAAAATATAAATTTCTTCATTTAGGTCTTGTTCAAATTGCTATCAAACCTCTTTTTAGAATTGGTGTTGATGCTCCTGTTCTCTTAATATTAAGAGATAAAAGACATACAGATTTTCAAAATTCTATTTTAGCTATGGCAGAAACAAATATCGCAAATGGACCAATTTATTTTAATTGTTATCCGAATTTTTCCGTAGGATTATTTGACAAAAATATTTTAGACACTTTGGTTTTAACTGTTGAAACAAAGAATTTAGAATTTAAAAAACTCTAAACCTTTAGCAATTATTTATCGTGTTTGTTATAAAACCATGACAACTACCTTAGAACCAAAGACCCGTTTGTCAAATCCAAGAAATGAAACAATTATTTACGAAGCAAATACTAATCATACAAAAGTTCATATGCCTAAACGACTTAAATGGTCAGAAATTACTCAATCATGTAATTGGAATTTACAAAATGTTATTGAACCAAAATCTTTAGATTCTTCAAAACAAATTTCAAATATAATTGAGCATAATGATGGCTCAGTTGATATAAACTTTTCTTCTACAAATTTTTCTTCATCTAGATTTTCTACTAGTTCTATTCCTGAAATTGGTACTTCTAAATTTTCGCTTTCAAAATCAAAGTCTTTAAATTTAAAAACTGTTGACTATTCTAGTCCTATTCCTAAACCTCTTTATCAAGAAGACCAAACTAGTGATACAAGTTTACCAAGTCCTACTAAATCTGATTTTATTAATGAACTTCAAAATTATAGACAACAATTATGACTAATAAAGTTCAAATAAATTGCAATTCTTTAAATAGAAATAGAGTTACTGCTATTAAGAGATTAAGAAATTCAATAAAAATATTTAAAAAACTCTTGCAAGAAAAGATATTAGAATTAAAAAATATAATAATGATAAAGAACTATTGGAATTAGAACAAGAAATTAATAACATAAAAGCAGTATTAAAAACCTTTAATATACATCTTGATAATTATTTAAGAAATTTATCTAAATATACGTGTTAATGAGTTCTAAAAGACAGATTAGTTGTAGTAATAATAATAAATTTTGGAATAATTTATTAAAGACCAGATGGAAAATTATTGCAAGCATTTCTAAAGAAATAAATAGAATTAAACAACTTAAAAAAGACGAAGAAATTAAATTAATTAATACTGAAAAGGACACATATAATTATAA